TATTGTGCAGACGTCGATTTTGTATTTTACGTTTGTGTAAATCAGGCCCGTAGCCAACACCTTTGAATAGGGGGTTTGAAAATAACAATAATATATTTTATGTGAATTTTAGAATATTCAAAAAGTGTCATTGAACTTGAATTTTTATATTCTCGGTTTAAAATTCAATTGGTTTACTTTGTGTTACGTTGGTAAGTTATTTCACATTACATCTTTGAACTATTTAACCGTTTTAGAGAAAGGAGCCATTCCCCACCCACGGACAAACACACCCACACCCTAGATCCACCACGGCAAAATGTTGTACACAAGAAATACAAGACTGTACGTATCTTAGCATTATTGTCTAAGCATTTTAAGGTGGAATGCTACACACGAGTTTCTTCGCTCTTCGCAAATGTTAGCGCACATAAAAGTGACACGATTTCATGCCGAAATATGTCTACAATTATTCATTTTAGTATTAGTCAATTTTGTATTATGTAATTTTATTTCTGTACAGGGCCTCACCCATCGTACAAAATGTAATGGGCAGAAAAGTGCATAGCACGTTTTAAAAACAATACAAAATCCATGTAAATACATGGTACTAAGTTAAGCTGGATTCATATTCATCTCGTCCCCTGAAAACGTTTAAAAGATACAGAGCTAGTTGATATATAGTGTGGCAGTTTGTGTAGCGACGAAGTTAACCCAGACTGTCAGTATTAGCATAATTACATAGGGTTATTGACAAAAGATCAGCTCTTAAATCATTATAAAATGGATATATAAAAACAAAGTGAATTTCATTTTCCACCATGCTAAATTCAAATGTATCACTGCAAAAAACTAAAAATTTAGTGATCTAACTGTATTTTTGTGTGTCTGCCGAATTCAACATTATGTTTATAGCCAAAACAGCAAAAACTCGTCAGTATATATTTAGTCTATAATTGCTTGCCAATAAATCTCCCAGATTATAATACTACTTTGATTTTTCCGAAAATATACAGCTTGGATGATTGC